CATGCATACGTAGAAACAACTTGTTTTTCTTCATTTTCACAGCAGTTCTGCCCTCTGAGAAGACAGGAGGATATTTTCTTGAGCAGTTAAAGGGATAAGTGGTAGCAGTGGTGGGATAGTTCAGCGTATGAGGGATGAGTGCATAAATGATTTTACAGGGGAGCATGTAACCATGACAAGGAGCAGAGAGGAGGGGGTCAGTACAAGAAACAGGGAATGTCAGGGAGAATGGGCAGAAGGAATCAAGTGCCAGGATGAAGGGAAAGAAGATAAAGACAATGAGGGAAGGAGAGTTGGCAACTGATTTTTGCATAAACCACAAGAAGGGGGAAAGCTTTTATGTTATATAGTTTAAATTTATCAACAGAATGTGTTGGCAAAGTGTATCTACCTCCCATTTGCCAGGAGCAGCGCATGTTACTGGAAGTGCACAGCCACATCACTGACTACTCTGTGAAAGGAGATTCCAAACGGATCTTTGGGAAAGCACACAAAATCATCTTGCACTTCCCTTGCCACAACTGGACATGTGAAGTGGACTTTAAGGGGAGCCATAGAAAGCGACCCATCCAAATAGCAACAACACGTCCCAAGTTTTCCTTGGTTTCTCTCACATTGCAGCCTGGAAAGGCTCCCGCTGGCTTCTCCGTCAGCACCCACAGAGCGGTGCTGTTGTCCCGGCCTCCGCGGCTCACAGCCCGCGTGCAGGGCTGATGGCGCTCGGGGTTGCGCAGCGTTCACTGAAGTGAACAGTGTCAGCTCTTTGTGCTGAGGAGAATAGGATTCATTATGCTGATTTTTTAAGTGTACAGGCTCTGTTGACTGAAGAAGGCTTGTATTGACACTATGCTTTCTGGCTGGGCAGTGCTGGGCAAACTTGCAGGGTGAAGGACAAGGTCTTTAGTTCATTTAGCTTGCCCAGAGGCAATGTGTTATCTGTAGCAACCTCTCACTTCCTCAACTACATTTCAGAAAAAGGAGAAGGGCACTGTCTATTCTGATGCAAGGAGTTGTGTGGGGCTTCTAGAATCCTTGTGTAACACAATCAAGGAACTATTGCTAGCCGCTAGTTCTCCTTTTCAACTTGTGTTCTAACCTACGTTACACAAACAATAAATGTACAGTAATATCTTACTATAGAGAGAGCCCCTTTACTCCTTACACAGGGGTGGACCACTTAATTTCAGCCTGGCTTACATGTCACAGGCTGAATCTGGAAGCCACGTCTCTGCAGAATGTGTATTTAGCCAGAAGCTGGGCAAGGTCTCCATCCAGCTCATATGTCATCGTGCTCTCTCTTTATAGGATTTCTTGCCCTGAGCCAGCTCTCTCTTTAGATGGTGTAGTTGTGCTATGGGCTAGGCAAGTTTTCTTTTCAGATATATAGTCTAACTCTGAGCTGGGCCAGGTTTCCTGTCTAGATCATGTAGTCTGTCCATGAGCAGGACCCCTTTCCTCACCAGATAACACTTGCGGGCTGTGCAGTCTTGCTGTGAATAGTGCTTGATCTGTGAGTCGGCCAGGTCTCCGCATTCAAGTGACAAGTGATTAAAGTGACTTGCCGCTGCATTTGGCAGAAGTAACTGACCTCTGATTCAGCTCTAGCAAATGCTGAAGTACTCAGGGCTTTGAAGCTGCCAGTGCTTGGTGCCAAATGAGATTCACCATGCAAATTGTTTCTAAAAACGTTGGTGAGATATAACAGTCTCTGGAGATACCAGCCCCATCCAACAGTGTAGTGCAACTACTGTACTATTAGGAAATTGCACACAACAAACGATGTTGCCAAATGCAGAAGAGTGTTGCATGTTTGTGCATGGTGCATTGATTTATTCTTGTCCTCAAAGTTCCCAATTCACATTGCTTGTGAGTTCAGCTTCTGCTCCTTTCATTTGTATATTTTTTAAACATTAGATAAAATGAATATAGTGCTGGACTGGCATTCGGCAAAAAGTCCTTTATCTTTTTAACAGCCACCACACAGACATTAGCAATGTAAACTTTCTCTAGGAATAACCTGTTATGGATCAGAAATGGTGTTCAGTTTTCAATCAGAAAAAAAATTGCTATTCCACAAAAAAGGCCTGTTAAGAGGGCCATCTCTGACACTGTTTTCTATGGTGCTGAGAGGTGTTCAGTAAGACCGACCTGAGAACAAGACAAAACATGGCTGCACCCAGCATGGATACTAAGGAATTTACAGCTCCCATGCTCTGGATATAGCTGCTTATTTCTTTATGTTACGTCTTGTTGCGTAACAGTGACTAGTAGAAGAGTTATCCAGTCTAAAAAGGGGCTGTCAATGACTGATGCTGGTAATGTTCCTCCCATCACTGTACAAATATAATGAGAAGAAACCATGCCTTTTAGTAGCCCCGTTCAGTTTGTTCTCAGAAGTCAAGTGGATCAACACTTGGAAATAAGAGCTCTCCAAAGAAATTCAAGTGCTTCCAGAGATGACGCTAGCCATCTGTGCACCACTGACCAGACCTGAGTTGGCTGGTGTGAATGAGGACAGTGTATCTCATACAGTTGCTAAGAGCTGAGGAAAAGCAACGTAGGTGTCACACTCCTTGTACAACACTGTGTTTTTCTGCGTTTACTCCATTTTAGGGATGAAGTATTGCCCAAAGCCAAGAAGAGAGGAAGCCTGCTTAATTTGTACAGAGCCATGATGT